ACAGGTCTCCACTGAGACATTTTGGTTCTGAATTCTCTCTAAATTAGTCGTCCCCTTGATCTTCTTTTCTAAACCAGAAGAATGTAACTCTTGAAAAGACCTTAGAGATCACCTAATTCTACCTCCTCCTTTTACAGGTGAGGAAACCGATGCCTCAACAGGAGAAAGGAGACTTGCCTGCCAGTCTCTCCACCAGCACCTCAACCAGAGTCTGCAAAGGGGCCTGCTTGGGGCATAGTGGAAGCCTTTCCCCAACGCCAACCTCCCCACCCGGCCCCCTTTCCTGTAGCTGCCAGGCCATGGCGAGGATCATGCCAACGAGTGTCAACCAGGAAAATGTCTTCTTTCTTGAAAAACATTGTGGGTCAACAGACAGGCCCCCCAAGACCCCAGCAATGCCGTTTGCTCGAAGCCTGACATACAGTAACCCAGAAACATATGTGGTGAGCAATAACAGTCATAAATTTTATGAGATTATGTGTTCCTAATGTGAGATTTCAGGCTGATCTGTTTGTTGAGCGATGCCAAGCTTCAGCATGATTCAATCAAGTTGCGCTTAATCTTCCCTTATTTACTCTGGGTGAGGGTGAGTCACAGAGTGTGTCTCTAGTCCAGTCTGCTGAACTAATTTACCCCAAAGATTCTGATGAACTGGTGATTTGTTTCCTCTGAATGTCCAGAGTTTATTTACTTGTATCATTCGATGGAATCTGGATCATATGCAAGGACTCTCTGTGGCCATGCTGAGACCAAGTCCTCTCAGGAAAAAATCACTTTTAACAGAGAGGACCTTGGAGGTGGTCACGGCTTTCTTGTTGGTCCCAGCCATGTCTTGCCAAATGTTTTGTCACCTGTCCATTAACTCACTGATTTAACCCCATGGTCTTTTTATCACAGAAAAGAGCATTTTGGCCACTGCTTCGTGTCCCTGGCCCTGGGCCACGTGGATCAGGAATGAAGGGGGAATACTGCCATCTCATGCAAAGATGGAAAAGCCTGGACAATCTGCCCGTGGCCGGGAATGACTCTAGTTGCCAAGCATCTCCAGCTCGCAGGGTCCAATTTTTTGCAGCCCCTGGGGAGATGGGAACATGCAGATGGAATTTGGGGGCTGTGTCCTTAATGCTTTATTCTCAGCGCTCCACCGAGGTGTCACATCCCCTTGTATGGAGAACAGGGAGGACAGTCTGTAGCCGCCACGGATGGTTTGGGGAAGCTCCTGGCTTCCATGGGTCGGGAGAAACATGGGGTATGGGCCTTCCAGGCTTGAGGCTTGAAAAAAAGCATTTCCCTTGATGTCCACTTTGATCAGGGTGCCAACCATCTGGTTTTACTGGGGACTGAGGGGGTTCCCAGGGTGTGAGACTTTCAATGCCCAAACCAGAAAAGTTCTGGGCAAACTGGGACAAGTTGGTCACCCTAACTTTGGTGTCCCTTGACTTTATTAAGTTAGGCCTCAACGATGTAGCCAGAGCTTTGGTTGGGATGCAGGGTAATTCTTGCCTTTCCCAGTAGCTGCTGCAGGGCCTCAGGCCTTGGGAGGACAGACTACCATTCACGCCCACCACTGTGAGAGTGAGAGTATGGCCACAAGTCCTGCTCAGCTTCCCAGGATTTTACCCCAAGGGTTACCCCAGGTAGGCAGTGCCCTTTCTCTCTGTGGAGGGGCGGTAGCAGGTTTCCCTGCCAGCTATGGGCATTGCCAGGCTGGTAGCCCACCTGGCAGTAGAGAAGTCCACGGTCTGCATGGGAGACATGGGAAAGATGGTGTGACTCGGCTGAGGGCAGGGTCTGATGCTGGATGTCAGCATTCCTGAAACGGATGGTCTGAAGCAGTTAAAAGTTAGCTTCAAGCTAGTAGCAAGCTCTGGATGTAACTTTGTGGGGGGGCAGAATTGTGGGTTTTTTTCTTTTTAGAGGTAAAAATCAGAACATTGTGGTGAGCCTTCCTTTGCTTGTAAGGGTAGCTCCCATACTCCATCACACCCTGATTAAGAATGTGGACTCAGGAGCCAGACTGCAGGGGTTAAGGTTCTGACTGTTGTTTAATTTCATCTCAGATGAGTAATATAACCTCTCTGGGCCTCCATTTCCTAATCTGTGAAATGGGTGCACTGATAGGGTAGCTGTGAGGATTAAGTCAATTCACGTACACATTGATTTAGACTAGAGCCTGGCACATGCTAATTACTCAGACAAATCTTGTGAAACTGGACGGAAATGGCTGTGTCAAACATATCTAGTCACCACGTACCGTAGTGAACAAAGTTGTCATTTTGTCATCAGAATTGCACACCAGTGGGAAGCTGTGCTCCAGGCACTGCGGTGGCTTGTCCCCTCTGCCAGCTGTTCTAACTGCATCCCACGGCACCCCTGTTTCCCTTTTGCTGCCTAGTCACTGCCTGCCGGGCCGGTGTGGACACATAGAACTTCCTGCTTTGAATGTGAAATGAAGGCCTAGGTTGACAGAGATCTCTGCAGAAAAGATCCCTGACCAACACACGTGAAAATTCCAGGGTCTCAAAGACCAAGGCCCTTCCACAGAGGCCCCTCCTGCTCGGTCTCCTGCCTCCTCCCCGAGGATAGCTCCAACCACACCCTTTCACCCCGAGTCCAGGTGCGACGGCCTGCTCTAGGCTCCAGCAGAAGGAAGCTCACACTTCACCCCATCTCCCAGTCGCCACAATCAGCACCTGCAGACACAGCCTCCATGGCTGCTTCTTAGGGCAACATGTTGAATTGCAGCCTCTGTACTATTTTGGATAGAGCACTAGTTTCACCTAAAGTATCTTGCCAAATTAATCTTGAGCAAATCAGCGTAATAGGGGATGTCTTTGAAAGCTTACCTTTGGCTTGAATTCTATAATCTATGTCTTTATTAATAGACCACCCTTTCCTAAAATGGAATTGCTTAGAGTCTCTAGTTGAGTTGTTAGTGCCATTCTGGCATAAATTCAGCTTTCCCATCATGCCTTTGACAGTGTTTCAAATTGATGTTTGGTAAATGTGTTTTTAATACACAATGCTTCGTTGAAGCTGAAAAGCAGTTGTATAGATCCTATATGGTATAAATACTTTAGTGGTGTTAGATTTTTATTGTACCATTCACTACCGAGATTAAAATATGCATGGTCAAGGGACAGGAAATGCCCAGGATTATTTCTTAGAATCCTCTGTTGCAATCTGTTGTGTTTTCTGTGCATATTTGCAGTATTGTGATATCTGTGTGGCCCCTCATATGATTTTTTTTCTTGATTGTTTTTGTAAGTGGTCTCCTAACACTATTCGTCATCCTTCTCCAATTTTATCATCTGCTGGAGGGTGGGAATAGGGGGATCCCAAACATGTTTATATGTAGAAACATTTGCATTTTAGGAATCTACAAGTCTAACAAAAATTATCTATTCAATTATACTCACCAGGGGTTGTGTCTGAAAACAACATCACATTTTGTAGCCAAAATAATGAGTAATATTTAGCTTTCCTTACCTTATTAAGACTGATTTAATTCCTTGCATCTGCTACAATTTTAATGGTTTAGTTTTGTATTTCGCCCCTTAAATAGGTGCAATATTATTTGGTGTCAATATTTACATTATGCATAAGTGTTCTGCCATAATATTTCAAATTTTGCTCTGACTCCTGCCAAATGGATAAAATTCCCATTATCGTGTTCATGCTCATAGACTTTCTTGGATGCCCCTCTGAACACTAGGCCTCGCTTGCCAAAAATTAAACCATGCATAATTTGCATTTGACAACAGCACAACAATTTTTCTCACTTTTGTAATTTATTTGCAGCATCAATGGTTTTTTTCTTTTAGTTGGATGTTTGCATTTTCAGCTTTTCATTGCTATTGTCAGACTAGGTCAGGGAATGTTTTGGGAACAGGCAATGCTCGGGGGCTGGGCACAACCGAAGCTGATTTCACATTTGTGCAACAGCCACGGCAGGCCTGGGTGTCTCTCGGGCAGCTGCCCTCCATGTTGATCCAGGCAGAAAGAGAAGTAACCTCCCTGCAGCTTTACCCTCTGGGACAGACGACCTCCTCAGTCAGCGTGGCTGGCCAGAATGATGGAGGGTCTTGACTCTTAGACCAATGATCAAATGCCTCAGCTCAGAAATGATAGGGTCACTGCTGTTTGCCACCCATTGGCCAGACCTAGTCACATGGCCTCTCCTGACTGCAGGACAGCAGCATGGTTGTTGCTGTACACTTGATTTTATTTGTGTTTGCAAAGAATATGTGATAAATAGTGCCAGCCTTTGCACCCATTTCCCATGTTTCACTGTTAATTATCCCCAGAGACAAAAATAATACAAGCATGGCCTAGGGATGCTTTTCACTCTTTGAAAGAATTCATGTGTAATAAATTTATGAAAACTTCCTATTTCTAGTGTCTTTGGGGAAGTTAAAATTTCTTATTTGAGGTAAAAAAATTTCAGCAAGCATATCCTCATATGTAATATACAAATTATGCACGTGGCCTCTCTGGCTCCAACCACATCAATTCTGTAAGCCCTCCAGTCCCTTTATATTTCTCCTAATATTTCTGGGAGTCCCTGGAGATAGTTTGAAGAGCACTTTTTAGGACGATCCCAGAGGCTTCTATTTATTCTGCTCCTGCTCTGGCTACTCCTGTTACTGCTGGGTGCTCAGACAGCAGCAGTGTTCCCAAAGGCACACCTCGTACTGCTATTAACCACTATACCCATTCATTCCTGCCTCAGTGTGCCAAAAACTAGCAATATTAATGCATAGGGCCTGAGCATACCAAAAGCTAAGAAGGTGAATGGATAGGGCCCTGGGTGGGTCAAAAGCTATCAAGATAATTGGATAGAAAAAAAAGCCCTCCCCTCTCTATCCCTATAAGAACAGCCAGGCTTAAGCAAGAAAGGGAGATGGTCTTTGAGACAAGAGTCTGCTATTCTCCCAGGTGACGTGGCTCCTGAATAAACCTCTTTCCTTTTGCACCGGCACCTGCCTCATGAGTTTGGTTCCTGTTGTGGCAGGTTGACGAACTTGGTGGGGTTTTTGGTTCAGATACATTGTTAGCTAGTACCCCAAAATCCAGTGGCCTAAGACAATAAGAATTTCTTTTGCTCATGAGTCTATATGTTGACGATTTAGTCTGGAATTAAATGAGCAATCCTTCTGGTCTTGGCTGGGCTTTCTTTTATGTCTATGGCCAGCTAGGTAGCCACTTGGCTGATCTTAAATGGGCTCTCTCACCTGCCCGGGGTTTCGATTGAAATGACTGTGCAGCCTAACTTTTGTTCACATGGTCTGTTATCCCCCAGCGGAGTAGCTCAAGCTTGTTAGCATAAATGAGGCAGAAGACCCAAGAGAAAGAGAAGAAGTCTATAAAGCCTCTTAAGTCCTAGGCTCAAACTGGCAAACGTCTCTTACATTAGATTGTATTGGCCAAAGAATGTTACAGG